CAGTGGTGGGTATGGCTGTGCTTGTTGCATCAATATTTCAGTTAGCCCGAGGCTTTTCCAAAATTTTTTGGCAGCAAACAGACATCTACCCCCTTCAGCTCCAACCTATCTAAACTAGCCATTATAGTGGAGGGCTGATTTTGGGGGGGGGATTTTAGCAGAAGATTTTAGAAAATAAGATCCATCATTTCACAGACTAACAAAACTGTAATTATCTTAGTGTGTTTTTTATGATTAGTTTTTTGAGTGTCTTGTTGTGACGGTTTGACAAATACAACTGGGGTCCCAGCTGACAAATTCCCCAGTCTGCTTTTTGCTGCCGGTCCTCCCCTGTCAGGAGCCTTAGTATGAGGTGCCTGGCTTTGGCTTTCTGAATACTTAACTTCTGAATACATTTGTACATGGTAGGGGAGGTAAGATAGATACATTTCAGCTTAATGGCAAAGAGCTTTGACCAGAAAGCTGTCAGAGCTCAGCACCTTCTCTCTATCTGATCATGGAGGACTTTGAAGAAACTGAACTCTGCTTTCCACAAGTCAACACTTCCTGCAGGAAGAGGATGATTCCTCAGTTTAAGGCCATGCTCATTTATAGCCTGCTGTCCTGCATCACTATCCTCACTGTGGTTCTTAACTTGCTGGTCATCATCTCTGTCTCCCACTTCAGGCAGAGATACACTTCTTTGAATATCCCAACAATTGTTTATTTTTTTGGTTTCAGTTAGATGAAAAAATGGCTTTTAGCTAGTCACCAGAATGTCACACTGAGTTCTAACAGAAACATCAACAGATTAGAACACAGTAACAGTAGTTTTACTTATTAGTTTTTTACCTCTGTGTCTAACATTATTCTTTTGAAAGCTAATGATAAATATGAACATAGAGCTTTTGAGATAGCCAACAACGCTGTGGTTAGAAAAAAATATTTATTATGACTCATAGCTGAGACTGCCACACATCCACAACCATGTTCCTTCATGACAGACAGATAGATAGATGGATATAGCACACTACATAACAGTGTGTTCAGTGTTGATATTCTCCCATTTCAGGCAGCTCTACACAACCACCAACCTCCTTGTCCTTTCTCTGGCTGTTGCAGACTTTCTTGTGGGCCTCCTTCAGATGCCCAGTGAAATCATCCTTTACCAAGGGTGTTGGACCCTGGGTGACTCGATATGTGCTCTGAATTTCTTCGTAGGTTTCATCATTATCAGTGTTTCAGTAGGAAGCATGGTGCTCATATCAATTGACCGTTACGTGGCCATTTGCAACCCCATGTTTTACTCCACTAAAGTCACTGTGAGAAGAGTTCAACACTGCATTTTTCTGTGTTGGATCTTTTCAGCACTGTATGGCAGTTGGATATCAAAAGACTTCCTCATCCAACCGGGCAGATATAATTCCTGCTATGGAGAGTGTGTAGTTGTTGTTAATTATGTGGAAGGTGCTGTTGACCTTTTTGTGACTTTTTTTGGCCCCATTACTGTCATCATAGTTTTGTATATCAGGGTGTTTGTGGTGGCTGTGTCTCAGGCTCGTGCCATGCGCTCCCACATTGCAGCTGTCAGACTCCAGCGTTCAGAGACTGTGAAAGTTAAGAAATCTGAGATGAAAGCAGCCAGGACTCTCGGTGTAGTGGTAGTTGTATTTCTTTTGTGCTCCAGTCCATATTATTGTTTCAATGTTGCAGCTGAAAACAACTCAGTAGATGCGTCATCTGCAGCCATTCAAATTTGGTTGCTGTTTTCAAACTCCTGTTTAAACCCTGTGATCTATGCCTTTTTTTACCCCTGGTTCAGAAAATGTATTAAACATATTGTTACACTTCAGATACTGCAGCCTGACTCCTGTAATGCCAATGTACTGTAGAGACACACTGTGATGGACTGAAAGTAATTATTTGTCTGAGAAGGGGAAATTACTTTCATGTAGTCTTTAATAAACTAAATTTTAACATTCTGTTGTCAGGACGATGAAGTAAAGTAAGTACAAAATGATTGTACAGTTGCCGGACACTTTATTAGGTACACCTGTATAATTGTATGCAATTTAGTGCCACACTTCTTTCTTAACATCGGTGTTTATGAAGCACTGCAGTCTCACTTCAGTCGTCCCATTAGAGTGATTGAACACAGAAATGCTTTTCTTTACCTTTTTTCATGGTAATTGGAAGACCTGAATTCTGTGCTATGAAAGGGAGTATTAAATGTTCTAAAGAAAAGTCACTGTGTTTCAATAAAATTCAAGGGGGGTTCGTTGGGTTTTCCTCTATAATAATCGTGATAATAGTAAGGTCTAGAACTTTGTAAAGTGTCCTGAGATGACTTTTGTTGTGATTTGACGCTGTACAAATAAATTTGAATTAAATTTTTGAATTGAATTAAAGGGAAACATGCAGCATAACACTCGTAACACTCGACAGAAGAAATGCAGCTATAATGCACATCTGGAACACAGGCGTGTTTGCCCCATTCCCGATCTTAGCTCTTTATAGTCTTATAGAATTAATTTTATCTTGTTAACTGGCAAAAATTATTTTATAGGGGGCACATGTGAAATTGCAGCTGTATCAGTTATACTACTTGTTCCTTAATACATTTTTATATTTAAAAAAAATCTAACACATTTACAAAATCCATCAGCATAATAAATCAAAAATCAGAATTTGATATTAGTGAATGCTTGCTACATGACATAGCTTGTCACCTGGTATTAAAAGCCAATGAACTTGGCCACTGTTTAGTTGGATTTCTGCTTCTGCCATTAAATAATGTTGTTCACCATCTTTTTTCCACTACATCAGGATACTTATCCCCTGAATTCAAAAAAATTGCTGGTCACACCAATGTATGGTCATGGCCCAGATTTGAGGTGTATTTACACCTGTACCCAGTCTGAGGAGAATTTGTACAGTAGTAGCCTACACAGCCATATGTGTGAGGCATGTCATACAGAATTGCAGAGTCAGCAAATCATGTGCTGTTACTTTTGTGATTTATATTTGGATGTTGTCATGGCTCACACACAAATTATGAGCAGGAAATGCAGTGCCTGTGAGTCATTTTTTAAACCTTCAATTAAATTACTTTGTCCAAACCTTTTACACAGAGACACTTCTGAGATTTTGATTTCATGTGTCTTCATTTGACTGATGAAATAATGTTGTCTCTGACCACATGAAACCCGATTGCTTTTTGCACTACTAATGTTATTATTTTATCTAAAATTATCAGCAGGGTAACGTATTTTATAGTAGATAGCAAGGACACTTTTAAAGGTTTTACACACCGACACAGGTATTATGATTTATTCTGACCAATTAGACAACTGCTCAGGTTGAAAGAGCTATTTTGGAGTTAATAAGGCTTCATGAACCAATGATCCAAAATAAAAGTAAAGCTGTAATGCAAAACTGATTGGAGGGTCACACAGATGTCAGTCAAGCACAGTGTACACACCTACACAGTCTGACATGGTCTAATCTGGAAAATGTACCTGGGTAATTGTACGACAAACATGAAAAGAGTTTATACAGTATTTTAGAGGTTATAGGTTGCAGGTTTAGAGGTTATATTTGAAGATGTATAAGTAAACTATTACCGATATGAATCTTTAATAGGATTTGACCAGCGTCACTGGGCAACTTGTGATTTGACAACCTGTCAATTATGTAATAATCAATAGAAACACAAAATCACATCTTTTTTAAAAATGCTTTACCTTTTAGTGTGATAGTGATTTATGATCTACTGTTTTTCTATGTAACACATCATCTTAATGGTGGCTTGACCATTTGAAGAAAACATCCCAAAAATAGTTTCAAACACCATCCCATTACTATTGATATTTTATTGTGTTTGCAAAATAATTCAAGGTACTTTTGTTTAACAGTAAATGAGTCACACAAATAAGGAGTATAACATGATGACATCTTTGGAAACCAAGCAGGAAGCTTTGTCAACTTACCTAAAATAACTTATTCACAATCTAGAATAATAATAGTACTCAGGGTTCAATTCAGGCTATTTTTGCAACAAAAGAGATGTTTTTAACTTGCAAAGTAAGATTGTTGCTCTCAATAAAAAAACATCTTGGTGATGACATGTAAGAAGAATCTGATATGTATTTACAACATAAAAACCCAAATCAGAAAATGTAAGGTTGTTGCCTAAGTGACCTGAAGACATGAACATCATTTCAAAAACTCTCATTAAAAAGAAATTGGTGATGACATGCAAAAAGACTGATCTGTATTTAACCAGATCAAAAGCTTTGAAGTTTATGTGCCAAATCACAACTCAGTGAAAATCAGACCCTTCAGGTGAGCGAGCCAATAGACATCTCTACATTATGTTGGCATAACAAGAGTCAGGCTGCAGTATGTGAAGCGTAACAGTGAGTTTAACTGATTTTCTAAACCAGGGGTAGAAAAATGCATAAATCACTGGATTTATACAGGAGTTACAATGAAGTATCCAGTTCATATCAGAGAAAGAGGAATAAAAATAAGGACAGAAACATACTATAAACAGAACTACAACAACACCAAGAGTTTTGGCTGCTTTTCGCTCAGACTTCTTAGCAGTTACTGTTAGATTCTACGCTTTTTGT